CTTTCAACCTCTCCTGCCAATGTGAGTCAAATTTACTCTCACTCTCATCTCCTTTTGCATCAGAACCTTTACCTTCAGCTCTCACATGCCGCAAACCCTTAGCTTCATTTGTTTCAACCAGTCCGTAATAGTCCACACCATGAACACGCCAGAGATATGTGACAAGTGTGTCAAGCAATTCAACACCCTCAAGGCCTTTCACAGACGTCAACCCCCTAATGATTATAACTGGACCGGTCGAACCACTGTGTAATTTATCTCTACCTGATTTTTCAGTTTCTGAACCTGATAAAAGGTTTTCCTCAATTCGTTTCTCAGAGTCTAGCTTACGCACAAGTGCTTGCGCTTGTTCAATGTCAGTTAGGATTCTCTTTGGATCAGAAGTGAAACTTGGTGCTTTCGGTGCAGCTGAAAAGTCAGCCTCGTTAGCCCTATCATGTCTTTTTCTCTTACCACCAGCTGCTTCATCATCGGAATTTTGCTCAGTGGCCTGGCCAGATTTATTCAATGCTGTCACTGCAGGACCTCTGGAACGGATCAAGGGAAACTGAGCTTTAGAGATGACAGAATGGTGATCAGGATCATAAATGTGGTGTACATGCAAAGGAATTTAGCTTACAAATCCAGTGCCCCGCCCTGCAAATCAAGTAAGAAATCCTTCGCTACCTTCCGTGCAAGGTCATTCCTCCTGAAAAGAAAAACCACAAATGTATATAATACATATTTTTCAATGTATACTATTATTAAAACACCTTCCAGGCACTAAAAACGAAGTGAACTGCTGCAAATGGCTCTTGAACTAACCTTTCTATGACAGAGAGTAAGTTGGTTGGATGATACTTATTTTTCAACCTGGACGTGTAACATAGATACACATGTTAATAGTTTAGCTTGCAAAATATACCCGAAGAATGTAATAGATTGAAATTGATAGTGGAAATCACCATTCTTCCTCTTTGTGGGTGTTAAAAAAGGCACGCTTTTGTGTTGTGATATACTCTGACTTGTATTCTTGATATCTGCATCAGGAATAAAGCTTTACACCTGCAGCTTTACAATACAACTGTTTAACCAACAAGAACAAGTTGCAGATATAACAACACCTGCGTTCAGCTTCAGATGGCAATATATCATCTTCCAACTCCTGGATAAATTGCTTGTATGACATCAAGCCATCCCTGGATAAACGAAATACAACGGTATGTATTGTTAAATGCAACAACAAGGGAGTCTACAAACAGCAGTAGTTGTGAGCCATTATCTTAAACATTAAAAAGATCAGATTTTAACAATTGGGACCAAAAATAATGGCGTTATCTAGTATTGGATAGACTCAACATCAGTACATCACATTGTTGAGAAATTATTTTAATTAATTGTGTCTGATCAATAGTGTCTCTCAAACAATTACTCTAACTTTCCAGGAGCTATAAGAAAGCAAGCATGTATGTCTCATCGAAGAAAGAACATTCTAAAAGGGTCAAAGAACCTTTGAGTATTTCCACTGTTGGAAGCATCACCATAACCTCCACGTCCTCCCTCCCAGTCTGCCAAAAGAAATACACATTAAAAAGGTAGATAACAATATCTCTCTCTTAAAACAGATTGCTTGTTTACAAATAGAATTGTGAATAAGTTAACTCAAACTGTATCCAATCCACAGCATATAGAGAGAAAGATATGAAGCTATGACTATGAACTGTGCTAGTCAAATGAACCAGAAATCTTCAAAAGAACTACTAATGACAGTCATCTTAAACAAGTCTCAGAAGTGCAAAAGTGGTAAAACAGGTTCCCTTAAAAATATCTAAGGAAGAGATGTCTCACCCTGAAAACGACCCATAAAGCGGCCATGAGGCCTTTCATCGCCATAGTTAGGCCTCCCACCCATTTCACGGTCATATCCTCCACCATAGTCATATCCAAATCTAACATGCAAAGGAAGAATTGAGTAAACATTAGGATACAACAATCAGTGATACAAGAGGATAATGAACTATAAGTGATGCACTTTTCTATTCTCAGCTAAGCAACATTACAACTTATATTATCCTTGTAGCAAAACACAGTTCCCATATGACTTTGAATTATAGTTCAATCGGTAACAAATTAACTTCGATGCAATTCCAAATGAAGTGTGAGCAATGTGTCACAGCAAAGAAGATCCAGGGATAAGAGATAAAGATTACCTTCTATCGGGAGGGCCATAGCCACCACGAGGACTGCCACGGCGAGCATCATAGCCATTATCATCCCTCCGATAACGCTTATGAGGAGGAGAGCGGCGCATGGGAGGAGAGTGCCGTCTATCTCTGTACGGTGGCGGAGGACTCATGCTAGGTCGTCTCTTGTAATCCCTACGAGGCGGTGGGAGAGGCGAACGGTCACGGTCACGGCGATTAGGCGGACGTTCGAGGTCTTTGTCGTCACGACGCTCTCGTGAATCTCTCTCCCGGCGTTGTGGAGGCTGCTGCTGTTCATGTTCCTGCTCTTGTTGCGGCAGAGAGGAAGAAGGCGGTGGTGGAGGTGGTGAGGAAGAGGTCGATTTCTCAGGGAGGCGGTTATCGACGGAATCAGACGGAGGAAGAGTCACATCGGCCATTACGATCGGAACCCTAAATCGGAGAATCTACGATTCACTCAAAGCTTCTCTCTCTCTTCCTTTACGAGGTCTGCTGCTGTTACAGTGTTATTCAATTTGGCCTTACTCAAAGGCCCATCTTCGTCTTCATGAAAATTAAGGGTTTTTACTTTTTTAAATTAATTTACCAATATTTTCTCACCGGGCCGGCCGGTTCGACCGGTTAATCCATGACATGAACATTTGTAAGTTTAATTCTACTAACCGATAATCTAAAAACCAATAACACTCGCCATTAACTCGTAACCTGGTGAATTGGTTTAACCGGCTAGGTTACAGTTTACTGAAAATTATTTGAATTTTGGGACTAAAGTACTGTATAGAGTTTTAGTTATTTTTGGAAGATATAATTTTTTATTTTTATTAAACGACACACAATCTCGATTAGAATTAGTTGTTGTGAATTCATGTTCTTTTGGTTTTATTTAGATTTCTTTTAATTTACTTTATATTATTGTTAATTTTTATATTTTATTAAATTTGATATGATTATTTATATATGTATAAAACTGTATAATCTAAATAAATTCAATGATAAATTTTAATTGATTTCTTGATTTAATTTTTGTTACACCCTTGTTATTCTTCCAATTGTTTTTGCAAATTTTATCAACCATTTCGAAGAAAGTTCTTCAAACAGTTCCACAAATTCAGCCAATAAGAATTTAAATGGCTACAGTAGTTGAGGCAGACAAATCTGTTTGTAAACTGGACCATTTATATCTACTATAAATTATAATTCATAGTAATACGAGAGAATTATGTATAGAAGACATATTATGTAAACCAACTACATAACATTTTTACATAGAAATAAATTTAGTTCAAGAAAATTTCTTATTAGTCGTAACTCAACATTATTAAGAACCTTAGGGGAAAAAATGGTTTAGGGCTTTTTACTAGAACTTATGTTTTGGATTTTTCATCAAATATATACTAAATTTTTTAAATATTTTGGACTTTAATTTATATCCCAAAATAAATTGGGGGCCTTATTTTAAATATTCTTTTTTTTAAAAGACATTTTTGTAAGATTTTCTTAAACAAATGTTGATGAACCTTAGGTCTAAATGTGTTTACTTTATTCATTTGGGCTAACCTTGTGTTTAGACTTGATTACTATTCATCCAAAATTAGAGTGATCTAGTTTACTAAAAGCACTTTCATCGGAAACTCTAGTTTAGAAATACATACTTAAACTAATATTAAAAAGATGAAAATATAGAAAATAAATCGATAAAAAAATTAAGAAACGGTTCTTCAAAAACCTTTTAGTCTCTAGTTTATATATTCTCATAACATGCGTCATCATATAATTAATTAATATTATGGGAATAGAATATTTGTATTTCTCACGTGTATAAGAAGACCAATCGCCTAACATATAGATGGGCAAACTATGCATCTACTCTATCTTTTGATTTTCATCGGTTTGAGGTGGATTCTAGTAATGTTGTTTTACTTTTGACGGAGGATACTCGTGGAACTGTTTTCACGCCATGCTTGTATTTGTTTTATGATTAAGTTTTTGAAGGGGGTTTTTTTCTCTCTTTCCATAACAAGAAAAATAAAAACATAACTAATTAATAATTTTCAATAAAATAAATTTAAAATAAATAATAATAATAATAATATATTGGAAACTTTGAACGTCTCTTACCGATGAAGATGTTTTAATGCTATAGTCCACTTTATCCATATACAAAATATGTAATTCAAAACATAAATGTCAAATAGACTTTTTTTATTTTAAGAAACAAAAAACTATTTCTATTCCCCAAATGTGAGTTTTAAAAATAATCTAATGGATTCTCTTTCTCTTATACCATTTTATATATTAATAAAATGTGAGTTGACATTATAACAAAACTGTTTTATAAAGTCATTGACTAAAAACCATAGATTAAGGATGTTAGTTACTTGGTTATATTAAACTAATTAGCAAAAAAAAAAACACAAAGACATGTTAAAGAAAAGTGTAAGAAAAAGTGACCAAGAGAGAATAACAAGGGTAAGAAGAAAAAAGTTACCGTTTTTGTACTCATCCGTCAAAGTCGATCTTTACAAGCAAGCAAATGCTTTATTGCATGTTGTTGTATTTTGTTGTTAGTCAGTCACACACACACACACAAACGCCTTTTTCTCCTCCCGCATAAGATTCCTCATCTCTCTCTCTCTGCCCATCTGATTCGCTGCTGACTCACACACCTCTCTCTCTCTTCACCTCCTGTAGCAAGAAGCAGAGACGTTTCGTTTTGTTTTTTGTTTGATCCTCTCCTCTCCTCTCGCGTGACTCCAAAGCTCCTATCTTTGATTCACCGACTCTTAGGTATCGTTGTTTCTTCATCTGGGTTTGTTCTGTTTGTGTGAGGAAGCTACTAGATTGGGGTTTTTTTTAGGTTTTGTTATACTGTAGTGGTTCAATTTCAATTGGGTTTCTTTACCTTTCTATAAAAATCTCTCCTTTATTAGTGGGTTTGTCAAATTACTTCACTTTTCAAGTTTTGATTTTGGATTACTCTGAGAAAAAAATCCTTTTTTTGGTTTAATTAGTTTGGTATTTGTCTATGGTATGACTTTGTGTATGTTTCTTGCTCGCCCTAGTTTTGGATTAGCATAAAAGTTGCCTTTTTGTGTCTGATTCTGGTTGTTTCTCACAAAACTGCAACTTGGTTTTGTGAAAGTTTTACTCTTTTGGATAACGGGTTTGCTTGAGGAAATTGTAACATTGGAATAGGTTTACTAGGTTAAGGGAAGTGGTCAGATTGCGTTTTGCTTTTAAAGTGGAAATTTTGTTCTGTATTTGATGCTTTTAAGTTGTTTTTTTGTTTGGTATGTATGATGAAGCTGAGAACTTTTTGATTGTGTTTGTGTTGGGAGTAACATAAGCTTGTTCCTTTTGTTTTCTTAGTATTCATCTGTTAGTGGTGTTTCTTCTCTGTGTTCATTTGTATTCATCTGTTAGTGGTGTTTTTTTTGGTAGTCCTCTTTCACTAAATCTAGTCCACTTGATAACTTTTCAAGTTCTTATGCTCTATGAAGCGGTTTTGTGTTTGTTGTGGTAGTTTGTGTTAGAGTTCTCAGTTCAAGATCACTAAAACAATATAACCCAGAACAGGATAACTAGAAAAGAACACGAAAACATAGAATACATTTTCCTTGGTATGAGCTAATAAATTCTCAAAAATCCTATTTCCTAGTATGGATCTCACAAATAGGTCATCCTTCCTACCTATAAGAAACTCCAAAATCACATAATAGAAAAATTCCAAATGGTCATTCCTCAGAGTTTGGAAGTTTTCTTTTTTAGATTTGAAACTATTCAAGTATTTCTGTCAATTTTATGTTATTTCTTGGTCTAATTGGTGTAAGATTACATTTCTGCATGTTGTAAATCTAATTCTGTAACTCTTTTTTTGCATGTAAGATTGGACAATGGGTGCATCAACATCCAGAATAGATGAAGATAAAGCCTTACAGTTATGTCGGGAACGAAAAAAATTTGTCCAACAAGCACTCGATGGAAGATGTTTGTTAGCTGCTGCTCACGTTTCATACGTTCAGTCTCTTAAGAGTACCGGAACTGCCCTCAGAAAATTTGCTGAGACTGAAGTTCCAGTTGAGTCTTCCTTGTTTACGTCCACTAGTGCAACACCAGAACAACCTCTTGCCTTAATCGAGAAATCAGTTTCTCATCCGTCATACTCTCCTCCACCTGCTTCACATTCGCATTCCCATCATGACACGTATTCACCTCCTTCGTCTCCTCCTAGTAACAGTCCGTTCCAGGTCAATCATATGAAATTCAGAGGGTTTTCTTCAAAAAAGGTGGAAGAGAAACCTCCGGTTTCTATTGTTGCCACTGTAACCTCATCTAGTCTTCCACAAAGCAGGTCTATGGAAAAGCTGGAATCAACCTCATTCGAAGAACCTTCGTCCATGCCACCTGAAGCACCTTGGGATTATTTTGGTCTTTCTCATCCAATTGACAACCAGCTTTCTTCGTCTCATGCTGGGAATGGTCATGTGTCAAGATCCGTGAAGGGAGAGGATGAAACTCCAGAGGTGGAGGATGATGGTGAGAATTTTTCTTTTCAAGAAAGGGAAGCGTCCAGAGATTCGGACGATGATGAGTTTGATGAACCAACAAGTGATACACTAGTAAGAAGTTTTGAAAACTTCAATAGAGTGCGCCGCGATCACAGTGCTTTGCCTCAAAGAGAGGGAGTTGAAAGCGAGTTCTCGGACGCTGAGAAAAGTAAAACTCCTGAGTTATCACCACCAGTCACGCCTTTAACAGCCACTCCAGTGAACAAAACACCACACAAGGGAGATCACACCGAGAACAAGCTTCCTCCCAGGGACTTCTTGTCAAGCATGAAAGAGATAGAGTTGCTTTTCGTTAAAGCTTCAGAGACTGGTAAAGAGGTTCCTAGAATGCTTGAAGCCAATAAATTGCATTTCCGTCCAATAGTTCCATCAAATAAGGGTAATAATTTTCATCTCTTGAAGACTTACGTGTATATATATGCATCCTCAAATTCCACCTTAGTTAATCTAATGTATCTCTGCATCTAGATTGCTTTGTGATTTATATTTGAAAAAAAATCACATATTCTTTTGGCAGGTGGCTCCGGTGCCTCATCACTGTTCAAAACCTGTCTCTCTTGTGGGGAAGATCCCCAAGATGTACCAGAAGGTAATTAAACTTCTTTACATTTTAGGTCAACTGTTGCAAATTATATGGATTGTTTACATGCAAAGTTTTTGTGCAGAGCCTGCTCAGAACTCGGTGAAATACTTGACCTGGCATAGGACTGACTCTTCACGATCCTCATCTTCTCGGAATCCTCTTGGAGGAATGAATTCTGATGATGTGGAAGAGCTCAATAGCAATCTCTTTGAAAACATTTGCATGATTGCTGGAAGCCATGCCTCAACGCTAGACAGACTGTATGCATGGGAGCGGAAGCTCTATGATGAAGTTAAGGTACTTTTATAGGGCCTTTAAATAGATTTTATAAAATCAATATTTTGCAGTTGATTTATTTTCTTCACTTTTATCGGTTTCAGGGGAGTCAGACTGTGCGAAGAGAGTATGACGAGAAGTGCAGAATTTTGAGAGAACTTGAATCAGAAGGCAAAGGCTCACAAAGAATAGACAAGACACGTGCAGTTGTGAAAGACCTTTACTCCAGAATCAGAGTGGCGATTCATAGGATCGACTCCATATCACGACGGATTGAAGAACTCCGTGACAAAGAGCTCCAGCCTCAACTTGAGGAACTTATTGAAGGGTATGTGTTAAGCCACTGTCTTCGGTATACTCAATTCTTTTGATTTCATTTGACCTGAACCATTATATTTATTATTTCGTGGATGTGATTAGATTGAGTCGTATGTGGGAAGTGATGTTCGAATGCCACAAGGCTCAGTTTCAGTTAATCAAAGCGTGTTACAGAGGCGGAAACATTAAACTCAACATGCAGTCTGAGTTGCACAGACAAGTAATATCTCACCTTGAAGATGAAATCCGCGTGTTGGCCTCAAGCTTCACTAAGTGGATCACAGGCCAGAAATCGTATATTAAAGCGATAAACGAGTGGCTGGTGAAATGTGTCGCCTTAACACAACCATCCTCTAAACGAAAAAGGCGTGCACCACCTCCGCCACTGAGAAACTATGGGCCTCCCATTTATGCAACATGTGGAATCTGGCTAGAAAAACTCGAAGAATTACCAACCAAAGAGGTTTCAAGCTCCATCAAAGCACTTGCATCTGATGTCGCCAGGTTCTTGCCACGACAGGAAAAGAATCGCACCAAGAAACATCGGTCGGGTGAGAACAAAAACGATCTGACAGCTCACATGTTGCAAGATGAGACTGTGGAGGATTGTGGTCCGGGATTTGATCGGTTTAGGACAAGCTTGGAAGGGTTTGTTGGACAACTCAACCAGTTTTCAGAATCATCAGTGAAAATGTATGAGGAACTTAAGAAAGGAATCCAAGGAGCCAAGAACAACTACGAGCAGTTAAAGGCTTATACACAAGGAAAATGATTTTTTTGGTTTCTTGGAAAATGAAATTTTGTCAGGTTACAAAATTTTGGAGGAAAGGTTTGGCATTTGTAAATGCAAAAGGGATAATATAAGAACATTTCTTCAAGCATGAAATATTGATAAGATGATTGTGATAGTGTTTTTCGTTTGTCCAATCACTAAACATATAATAAATCTAGTCAATATCATAGATTGAATCTTCAATATCTTTCTTATGGTCTTAATGTGTTCTGCAGCAATGCTTTTTATTAGGAACTAGATTTTAACCCGCGGGCGGGACGATATTCCTAAAATGTAATTTTTTTTATTAATTTTGTTTGGTATATAAGAGTGTACAATTATATTTTGATTGTTAATTCTATGATTTAACCCCTAAAATATTATATGATAATTTATTCTTTATATAATCGTAATTTGATCAAAGTAATTAAATAAGTATAATATTTAAAATAATGAAATGATATTGACATAATATTCGTTTACATAGTATAATTTCATATTAAAATATTTTGTGAGTTATACTATAGTAGACCACCCGTAAAAATATCTATAATCATAATTATATAAATTATAATCCGTTCCATCATATAACCCGTGCTATACAATTATCAATAATACTTTAGTACATCTATTTTTGTATCGTTTGAGTAATATACATCCGTTTCTAAAAATTCAAATTATAACATATGCAAAAAAATTATATTTTTATTATACATATGTTTATGTAATAATATAAATTTAAAAACAAATAAAATCATATAAAAATGTTGGAGAGATATTTGATTTATTAGGGAGAGATTTTAGGAAATTTATTAAATGTAATAAATATTGATTTCTAGTTTTGCAATTTTATTATGATTTAATTATAAAATTTATCTTAAACTTTTTCTATTTAATCAAATGGTAAGGAGCTAATTATGAAAATATCACCAAATAAAAGGGTAGAACACAAAAGGTACTTCAAAAATGTTAATATAGATTTGTATTAAGAATCATTTAGGTTAAACTTATAAAAATATTGCAAGTTTATATTATTTACTTTTGATTTGTTTTACTAACGACATTATATTAAAACCAAAGTCTAAATTTATCCCGTCATTTAATTACATTGTCATAGCTTAAACAAAAACAAAAAAAAAATTAAAAATTAACCACCAAAATCACCTAGATCCCTAAACCTTATAAAGATACTAGATTATGTATAAACCTTATAAAGATACTAGATTATGTATCACGTGCACAAAAATTGATTTGAAACTTTTATGCATCCGAATCTTTGAGTATAAATATACTTATTTGTTTTTAAAAATACATAATTATTTGAATATAATATAATTTATACAAGTTATGTGCATTATCTTTCCAGATTTTAGTATAAATATTTCAGACTTCCACCACAGTTTCTCTAATCATTTTCTATAAATTTGCTCGCCATTTTTATTTAACTCTTTTTCATCTTCTATTGACTCATATATTATATATAAGAATGTGAAATTGTTCGTATATATTTCCTCTTTAGCCTTTACAATCTTTCAATACTCATTTTTATATAAGTTGTATGATTTTCTTGTTTAAATAAACGTTAAAAACCTAGAGTGGAGTTTGTTTCGTTAGCCATGTAAACATGTTTTCATTGCAAGGGTATTAACTGCGCTTTCAATATGACATGTTTGAGTTGTCTTTTTCTAAGATACACCTACTTGGAAATGTTTTCATCAAACGGCTTATTTGTATAGTTAAAACAAAATATTTTTCTCCTTTTCTTTTGTACTTGAGAATTCATACATATACTCAATTATGTTGTCACTCTCACCACATGTTGTATTTTATGGGCAAATTTTCACACAATTTCATCTATTGTGTAATTTAAGATATATTTTAAAATTTTGAATCATAACATATACATGAAACAAATATAGTTTTATTGTTTATTAAGCATATGAATAATATGATGAATCAACATTTTAAAGAAATTATATCAAATTCAACAAAAGGTGAAATATAAAATATAATGACTTAAATTTAATTAATATGGTATTATTAGATGTATAATCTTCCTTGATTGGTAGCTTTGGGGTTTTTTTTTAGAAATATATAAACAATTAGTGGTTCCATCCATTCTTGGATTGGATTTCATTTGGTTATGATATTGATTTAAGAGAATTCACAAGTTAACTACAGTTTAGTATAAATATGTTGTTCCTAACAACTATAAACATACCATTTTGAGAAGGAGCACATGGGTTAGTGATTCTCACCTTTCTTGTCTTTTCACTAAATCCGGGTTCGAGTCCGGTTTCTCTAAAAGAGAAGCGTATAATTTATAATAACGTCAAAAAAACATATTCTGATGATAATGCCTGTTTTATAAACTAATCTCTTTTGACTCTTTCCATAGTTAGGAATTCTTCGTGTTATCATCTACTCCTTTTGAAATTTTCTGAACCATACAAAAGAGAAGTTTTCAACTTTACATAAAACTAATATCAAATTTAGAATTTTTCCTCATTTTTAAAAAATATATATCCCGTCCATTCACAAATTCACATCATTATGTTTTCTCCAAAAATATAAAACATACAAAGAAAATAACAAGTCAAATAACCAAAAAAAAAAATCCTAAAAATCCAAAAAAAAAACAAAAAACAAAGAACAACTTCATCATCAGTTCATCACCATCACCAAAGATCAAAGTCATGACTGCATTTTCTCGACACAATCCTCGACGGAGCCGTTAACTTATCAACCGTTAAATCACAGTTAACTTTAACGATCATAGTCCAAGTCTTAACAGAACCAACCTTAATCTTAACAGGAGCTTTAATCTTCAACCTAAACGGCAACGTTTTGTTACTCACCTCTTTACGCATCTCTTTCCTCATACCACTAGTCAACTGTATCTTACTCCCACTTAACCCCAACTTAACCACCGTTACATTCTTCTCCGCCTGATAAAACTCCGGCAAAACACCGTTACATAAATCAACATCTTTGTAATAAACGTCGACGGAACTCCCTTTCCCGTAATAGTAAACCCCGATTTTCCCGTTACCGTTACGCGATCTAACGGTAACGTTAAACCGGGGCGAAATCGGGGAAGTGGAGTTTAAGTTGATCCCAGAGACGGCAAACCCTTCTACATAGTATTTAGGTGCTTCGGGACGGTAGATTAGGTAAAGTACGGCTAATGAGAGTCCTGCGAGGACAATCAAGGCGAAGACGAGGGCGATGAACGAGCAGATGCAGCATCTGCATCTGCTGCGGTTCGGTTTTTTACGGGAGAGGTATTGGAGGCGGTGTGCGTTTTCCGGTGGTGGGATACGGTAGATTTGATCTTTAGGGACTTGGATTACGTATGTTGATGGTGGTGGTGCTGGTTTTCTTGGAAACTCTCCGGAGCTGAAGTTGCCGGAGAATTGTCCGCTTTCCGGTGGTGAATCGGCGGGGTAGACTCTTTCAGCCATTTTGATTTGATGAGAGAGTGACTGAGAAAAAAAAAAAAGATTTGAAAAATTTGAGAGAGATTGAGAAACAGAGAAGAGGAATAAATATGTATACAGAGAAGAGAAGTGTTTAAATGTGAATTAAAGTGAAAAATAATTATGAATGCTTTGAAAAATTAATATAAAAGGTGACGATAACGCGTTATTGAGAAAAAAAAGATTGCACGCGGCAAAATGAAAATCTACTGGTTATTAATATTTTTATTAATGTTTATTTAATATTATTAAATAAATTTGGCAGTAAATCAAGACGTGATTAGTGTTGAATTTGTCTAAAAAAGACAAGAACAAGTATATGTAATAAATTTAATGAATTAGTGATTTTTTTTTTGTATCAGGAGTTAATGAAGTTATTGTATCAAATTATAAAAATGAGGAGTTATTATATAAAATTACAAAAATGAGGGGTTTATAATGTTTTATTTTTGTTTTTATAATGTTTTTATATGAAAGAAGAAAATATTATGTAACTTGGCCATACTAATATGGAATAAAATATAGAATTTTATATGGTTTTGCAGGCTAAATCTATTTTTTTTAATTTAATGTGATTATTAAGATTATTATAATATTTTATAAGGTTTTTAAAACATCTTATGAAATATGAAAAAATGAAAGTATAAATTAGAAGAATATGTTAAATCATCTTTTACGATTTTTGATAACCATAAAATATCATAGCAAAATCTATAATAATTTTCTAAAACATGAGAAAATCAAATAGTTTTATTATTTTAAAACTCTCTGGGTAATTAATTAACCTAAGATAAAAATTGCAGTGAAAAAATACTGGAACATTAGTCATCTCAATTATTGTATTTGACTTAATTATGGTTAATATAAGGTTGAAAAATTTAGTAGTTTATATGGAAAACAATAAATTAATTAGTCCGTTAGAGTAAATTCAAAAAAATAAACTGATTAAATCTTAGATCTACACTTGTTCTTGCATTTCTATGGTTCAAATTTTGTAGATCTACTCTTGAATCATGTTTTTTGTGTTGATTTTAGGTTCTAGAGAAGCAAACGCGGTTTGTGTTGTGTAACCGCGAGAGTCCAACACAAGTGGTGTAAGAGAGTACTTATTCAAATGATTTAACCAAAAAAAAAATTGACCAAAACTACCAAATCATTTATGAAACATTTTCTTTCAACAACATGCATTTAATATCAAAGCAGGGATTTGTGATACTCATCCGCTGTCTTTTCTGGTGCGCTTGTGCCATGGCTTTTTTATTAGGGACTGGATTGTCCGTATCTCGCATGTGTATAGGGAAGCTAACCGTCTTGCGGACGGGTTAGTTAACTATGCGTTTTCTTTGCCTTTAGGTTTTTACTATTTGAATTGTATTCCGCCGAATGTGGCGTCGATTTTAAATGAGGATATTGTTGGTCCACCTCAGCCAAGAAACGTTTATGTATAATTTTATTTTTAATTTTAATAAAACATAGGGAGGGCACTAACTCCCGTCAGTTCACCAAAAAAAAAATTCAGATAATAATTAGTTGGTTATATGTTATATGTCCTATTTCCTAATAATTTTTGTTAACTTTTTTTTTATATTTATTTTTGTTAATTTTTGTGTATCATTTATTTATTTATCGTATATGTACAGTATAAATGAGTAAATTATTTTGCATTTACTCGAACTACCAAATTGTTTTGGTACATTAGTATATGGGATATTTGTTCAGTCTGAGTTTCTAATTTTATCAACTATTAATAAGTCAAGTTTTCTATAAATATCATATATTTATTTTACAACACTAATTACACCATATGGCCAATAATTCTTATTGTGTTGAAATTTACAATGATAACACAAAAATATCAAAATATAGATAAAATGTAGTAAAGGTAATATATACTCACTCTGTTTCATTTTAAGTGATGTTTTAGTTTTAAAAAGTTGTTTTGTTCTAAATGATGTTTTCAACTTTCTATGCAAATATCTATATTAACATTTTTGAAGTACCTTTAGTGTTCTACCCTTTTATTTTGTGATATTTTCATAATTAACCCCTTGCCATTTGATTAAATAGAAAAAGTTTAAGATAAATTTTATAATTAAATCATAATAAAATTGCAAAACTAGAAATCAATATTTATTAAATTTAATAAATTTCCTAAAATCTCTCCCTAACAAATCAAATATTTCTCCAACATTTTTATATGATCTTATTTGTTTTTAAATTTATATTATTACATAAACATATGTATAATAAAAATATATATATATATTTTTTGGCATATGTTGCAATTTTAATTTTTAGATACGGATGTATATTACTCAAACGAACAAAAATAAATGTACTAAAGTATTATTGATAATTGTGTAGCACGGATCATGTGATGGAACAAGTTATAATTTAGATAATTATGATTATAGTTTTTTACGGGTGGTCTACTATAGTATAACTCACAAAATATTTTAATATGAAATTATACTATGTAAAAGAATATTATGTCAATATCATTTTATTATTTTAAATATTATACTTATTTAATTAATTTGATCAAATTACGATTATATAAAAAATAAATTATCATATAATATTATACGGATTAAATCATAGAATTAACAATCAAATATAGTTGTACACTCTTATATACCAAACAAAATTAATAAAAAAAATACATTTTAGGAATATCGTCTCGCGGTGTACCGCGGGTTAGAATCTAGTTTAATGTATTTAATTAATTTTTACCAATCATATTATACACCATATTTTTCGTTGGTTAAATTTATTGTATTTAATAGAATTTTTATGGAAAAGAGAAAAATTATATGTTTTCTTAATTTGTGTGTAACAACCTTAAACATCATTTAAAATAAAACCAAATAAGTATATCAATTTTTTATAATACCAATCAAAAATTCAATAAAAAATTATAATTATCTGAATGAATGGCCTTATATTAAATGAAATGTGTTTTCCTAAGAAATTCAACTTTGAAAATGAAAATTTGATATCCCATATACTATGTATATTGATCTCCAAAATTATATGTTAATCGTATTGAAGTCTAAATTTATTTTTTGGATTTAGTTCTATACTTTAGTTAAACTTGTCTAAGTAAAACACAAGGGACATATAAATTCATCTATTTAAAAAAATATTCAGTAATACCGTTATATATATATATATATATATGTTTAAAATTATAGTTAAATCATACAATTTTTTTTTAACTTCCTAAAGTTTTAAATGTTAGGTTAAGAACCTTTATAGACCAAAATATTGTATACACTTTAATTATGATTCTGGTAGTAATTGTAGTCGTATTAATCAACTAATACCTTAAGATAAACACATTTCATACTAATGTATGTATTGTCAGGAGAATTATGCAAATCCAGATACAAAATATTTTTTTAAACCACAAGATTCATATATGCACATCCACACAAATACATCATTACTTTTTAATAATTCAAGACTGCCATATTGTGGAGTGCACGTTAGGCGGCAATATACACAGCAACATCTTTTATTTATATAGTTTATAATTTAAATTATTTAATTTATACTTCAATTAACTAAGCAAAAAATATTCTATCTTATTTATTAAAAAAATAGTAATACAATATTTTTGATATATTTATAAGTTGAACTCTTAAAATTATTAAACAGCAAAAAAGTTATATGCTTCCAAAAACCTATGATACTGATATATTTTGAAGATATGTATACAATAAATTCAAATGATACCAATCAATTTTCGAAGATTTTATGATTATCATTTAATCAAAGTTCAACCTGATTTTGTGTAATAGAAATGGTCAATACTTCTTTGGTTTCTGATTTACCATTGCTTCGAAAAAAATAAAAATAATAACAGTGGTTCAACCTAATTGTGTGTAAAATAAAATGGCACCAAACCAACTAAAAGAAACAATAAATATAGAATGTTATCTACCTATATACGTACAATGGTTAATCAATCTTATACAACAAACTTTCTCATAAATAAGTTTCTCATATTGAGTAAAAAAAAACTACTTTTTGGGGTTAAATTTTGAAGAACATCACACGCGATTTTGTATGATCGTCGATGAATAAGCACGAATCGATCATTATAACTTATCCTAATTTTCAATTCTTATGAGTTATATGATCTTTCATATAACACATGAATTTTGATAATGTGGACAAAACAAAAATAATTTTTCAACATTTATCATCATATGAGTAGAAGATATTGCACATACCTTGAAAATAAATGAGTTGTGAAGATTTGTCTTCCCTCTCACAAGTCACAATGATGCTGAGGTCTCTCGCAGAGAAAAAAATGAAAGGAGAAGAGACGAATAATGCCGGACTTGACCCTTTCGTTTCTAATACTGTATTCAATAAATATGAATGCATGAATTTTTCAATTAATATATTTGATTGTGTTACCAAAAAAATTATAAAATAATGAGAGTTCATGCTTACCATTTAAGCAGGTTGGTAAGTGCATTTGAGTTGACCAATTCGTAGAACATTAATAAATAAATACTTCAATCCAAAAAAGGTTTACATTGTATGATTAAAGAGGTTCTATGGGATAACTGTATCAATGGGCCTGTGGATTTGGGGCTAAACAATTTGGTAACAGAGCTTATCCCTTACAAATGATTAATTAGTTTTGATTTTGTTTTCTTAGAAATACTATATCTTCAAAGGGTTGAATTTGGAGCACAATGCTTCCCACTAGATTACAACACTATTGGCTAGGCCTGGGCAACCCGGATCCGAAAATCCGATTCGAACTCGAAGCCGAAATCTAGAAATATCCGAACGGGTTCTATATCTCTAAACCCGAAAATCCGTACCCGAACCCGAATTGAACCGAAACGCGAACGGATATCCGAATACAACCATAATATAAATATATAATAATCATAATTTATTATTAATAATTATATATATATATATATTATAATATATATATATATATATTTGTAATAATCTAATATCAAAATGATACAGTTTTTGTATTTTTGGATTGTTTTAAAGTTAAAAAACCTTTTTAAAAAATAAATTTAGGTCAAAAATTATATAGGTGTTGAAAC